AAAAAAATTAAATAAATCTCAAAAATCCAAAAAACCGTAGAAATCCAATAATTCCAAAACAAAAAAGGAACTAAAAATAAAAAATTCCAAAAAATCTAAAAAATCTAAAAATTAATAAAAAACGAAAAAGTTTAAAAAATTAAATAATAACCACGACTCAAGAAGCAAATCCTATTTAAGGTGAAAAAATCCAAAAATATCAAAGAAAAATCCAAGAAAATCTGAAATATCCGGATTATCCGAAAAATCAAAGAATCGAAAAATCCAAAAATCCAAAGATTCCAAAAAAATGGAGGAATAAAAAAATATCGAAAAACTTGAATAAATCCAATAAATTAGAAATAACAAAAATAACAAAAAATCCAAATAATTAAAAAATCAGACTTTAGAAAATTTAAAAATTTAAAAATTCAGTAAACCCAATAATTCAAAATATCCAAAGAATGAAAAACATCCCAAAAAATCCAAAAAGGTCAAAAAACTCAAGAAATCTAACAAAACTGAAAAAATTCAAGATATCCAAAATTCCGAAAATTTAAAAAAATTGGAACTAATTCAAGAATCCAAAAAAGCGGAGAACAGAAGGAAATAAAAATAATCCCAAAAATCCAAAAAACCGAAGAAATCCAATAATTCCAAAACGTGAAAGGAACTAAAAAATTAAAAAATATCCTCGACTCAAGAAGCAAATCCTATTGAAGGTGAAAAAATCCAAAAAAATGTGATATATCCGGATTATCCGAACAATCCAAAAAACCGGAAAAATCCATTAATTCAAGAATTAATTTCGGAGGCTTCCATGATCGTTTTTCGGGTTGGGACCGTGCTGATTGAATTTTTGGGCTCAACGTTTCGCACACGTTCGTAAGTGACATCTTCAGGAGCAGGGTTAAGAAAGAAGAGTTTCCCTCTGAGTTGCTGTGCTCTTTTGCCTTATTCCTAATTTCTTAACCCTGCTCCTAAGGATGTCACTTACGAAAGTGTGCGAAACGTTGAGCCCAAAAACTCAACTAACAAGGTCCCAACCCGGAAGACGATAATGTATGAATTCAAGAATCGAAAAATTCAATAAAACCAAAAAAATCGAAAAGAAAATTATTCAAAAAATCGGAAAAATTGAAAAGAAACAAAAAATGTAAAAAATCCAAAAATTTTAAATATCTAAGAAACCCAATAATTGCAAGAATTCAAAGAATGAAAACCATCCCAAACTAATAATAACAGTATTGCATTCCCAAATTTTCGGGAAAATAGAGTGAGTCCTTCTTGATTTAATAAAATAAACCCATTCATTAATTTTTTTGAGTCAGTCTGTATAAGTAATTTAGTTAAATTTATCATGCTTTCTGTAACCTTAAAAGTTTTGCAAGATCTCAGACCACTCGGTTTTGCATTTTCAAAATTAAATTGTAAAACTCAACACATATTCATAGAGCACATGTACAGAAGTATCTTATTTTATAAAACTGAAACAAAATTACTAATGTATAAGTACATTACGCTCAGGAAGCAAAAATAAAGACCCTTCTTAGAGATGCATCTCCATTAGGGGCATGTTTCATTCACGATTTTATTGTGATAGGTCATGATTGTAAACCCGGTACTGTTCCTTTTATTAGCTATTTATTATGGTTTTATTGGTCAGTAAAAACGCGACTGCTTTAGCGTAATGCGTTTTAACTGTGTTTCTCACAAAAAACATAACGTTACGTCTGCCATTCCAATCGGGTTGAGCTGTAAAATTTCCGAGCTCGGTATCTGCACTTTATGGCTTCTGCTATGGCCATTTGAATTTTTTGTAACGAGGGGTTAGGTCTCAGTGCCGGACGGAAACATTCGGCGAGGGTTAAGGGAGTTACCACGAGGAAACCGACAAGAAATAGTGCATACCAAAGTTCCATAAGCATTAATAGTGAAACGGTGGCTGTAGCGACTCCGTAAAAACTTGATTGCTCTTTTATTTTACAACGTGGCCTAAGTGTGTTTGGTAATGCTGAAAGAGGAAGGATCGAGCTAGGTTTATATAGGAGTAGAAAAAGTTTCTGGGCTCAAATAATTTTTGATCCTTCGTCTATCAAAATCACCCGGTATACGCAAACACCCGTAAAACTCAACGACACTATTAAAATCCGGAAAAATCCGTCCAACTTGTCGAATAAAGTTTAATCGTAATTGTGGAGGGTTTTCGTCGTCGGTTTGCCCTCAAACGCCAGATCAAACACCCCGATTGCTCGACTTTCCCTTTTTCTTTGCCTCTCCAAACGAAACGAAATAAATATTAAACCGGATTTAACGAATGAAATTTGAGACGCGACGCCTAAAAAACTCACTTAATCCACCGCAAGACCCCATCCAGACGCGGAATCTTGATTTATACCCTCTAGACGACATCCACAAGAAGCATTTAATTAAAAGCGTGGGAACTTCCTCGAATTTTATAAAAAAAGTGTTGTTCGCGCCTCGAGACAAAACCCGGGAGTGTTTTAATGGCGGTTTAGACGGTGATTTGGGGGGGTGACGTCAGTGGGTTTCCGGGCGGATTAATACGTGAGGGTTTTTAAAGTAAAAACCTGTCCCAAATATCACTTCTGCGTCTTTTTGACTTGAATTTTTTTTTTGTTTATGCAGTTTTTCGGTTTCCGTTTTTTATTTTCTTTACTATTTCAATTATTTAATTTTTCAATGTATCGATTTTATAATATTTTGTTTTTGTATTTTAATCTTTTCAGTTTTTCGTTTCTCCAATTTTTGATTTACGATTTTTCAATTTTTCATTTTTTTTCTTTCTTCAGTTCTTAGATTTTGGAATCTTTCGAAAGTTCGGCGGATTAATACGTGAGGGTTTTTAATGGAAAAATTGGTGGAAGGTTATTTCGAAATTTTTTTGTTTTGTTCTGATACCTCTATAAAGCAAAAATCTGTCTCAAATAACACTTCTGCGTCTTTTTGACTTGAATTTTTCAATTTTTCTGTTTTTTTGTTTATGCAGTTTTTCGGTTTCCGTTTTTTGTTTTCTTTACTATTTCAATTATTTAATTTTTGAATGTATCGATTTTATAATATTTTGTTTTTATATTTTATCATTTCAGTTTTTCGTTTCTCCAATTTTTGATTTACGATTTTAAAATGTTTCTTTTTTTTTGTTTCTTCAGTTCTTAGATTTTGGAATTTTTCGAAAGTTCGGCGGATTAATACGTGAAGGTTTTTAATGGAAAAATTGGTGGAAGGTTATTTCGAAATTTTTTTGTTTTGTTCTGATACCTCAATAAAGTAAAAATCTGTCTCAAATAACACTTCTGCGTCTTTTTGACTTGAATTTTTCAATTTTTCTGTTTTTTTGTTTATGCAGTTTTTCGGTTTCAGTTTTTTGTTTTCTTTACTATTTCAATTATTTAATTTTTCAATGTATCAATTTTATAATATTTTGTTTTTGTATTTTAATCTTTTCAGTTTTCCGTTTCTCCAATTTTTGATTTACGATTTTTAAATTTTTCATTTTTTTTCGTTTCTTCAGTTCTTAGATTTTGGAATTTTTCGAAACTTCGGCGGATTAATACGTGAGGGTTTTTAGTGAAAAAATTGCTGAAAGGTTATTTCGAAATTTTTTTGTTTTGTTCTGATACCTCTATAAAGTAAAAATCTGTCCCAAGTAACACTTCTGCGTCTTTTTGACTTGAATTTTTCAATTTTTCTTTGTTTTGTTTATGCAGTTTTTCGGTTTCCGTTTTTTGTTTTTTTTTACTATTTCAATTATTTAATTTTTCAATGTAACGATTTTATAATATTTTGTTTTTGTATTTTAATCGTTTCAGTTTTTCGTTTCTCCAATTTTTGATTTACGTTTTTTAAATTTTTCATTTTTTTTTGTTCCTTCAGTTATTGGATTTTGGAATTTTTCGAAAGTTTGGCGGATTAATACGTGGGGGTTTTTAGTGGAAAAATTGGTGGAAGGTTATTTCGAAATTTTTTTGTTTTGTTCTGATACCTCTATAAATTAAAAATCAGTCTCAAATAACACTTCTGCGTCTTTTTGACTTGAATTTTTCAGTTTTTCTTTTTGTTGTTTGTGCAGTTTTTCGGTTTCAGTTTTTTGTTTTCTTTACTATTTCAATTATTTAATTTTTCAATGTATCGATTTTATAATATTTTGTTTTTGTATTTTAATCTTTTCAGTTTTCCGTTTCTCCAATTTTTGATTTACGATTTTTAAATTTTTCATTTTTTTTTTCTTCAGCTCTTAGATTTTGGAATTTTTCGAAAGTTCGGCGGATTAATACGTGAGGGTTTTTAGTGGAAAAATTGGTGGAAGGTTATTTGGAAATTTTTTTGTTTTGTTCTGATACCTCTATAAAGAAAAAATCTGTTCCAGATAACACTTCTGCGTCTTTTTGACTTGAATTTTTCAATTTTTCTTTTTTTTTTGTTTATGCAGTTTTTCCGTTTCCGTTTTTTGTTTTCTTTACTATTTCAATCATTTAATTTTTCAATGTATCGATTTTATAATATTTTGTTTTTATATTTTAATCTTTTCAGTTTTTCGTTTCTCCAATTTTTCATTTACGATTTTTAATTTTTTCTTTTTTTTTTGTTTCTTCAGTTCTTAGATTTTGAAATTTTTCGATTTAAAAGTTCTCGAGTTTTCAGTTTTTAACTTGTAGATTCTTTAACTATTTTAATTTTTCAATTTTTCGGTGTCTAAATTTTTTTTTTGTTTTTTCAGTTCCAGTTTTTTCAAATTTTCGCTTCAGTTTTGAGTATGCAACTTTTCAAGTTTATATTTTTAAATTTTTCAATTTTTCGATTTTTTAATTTTTAGCTTTTTCAGTTTCTCAATTTTCCAAAGTTTTGTTTCTTGAATTTCTGGATTTTGCACTGTTTGCATTTAAAATTTCTCGAGTTTTCACTTTTCGATTCTTTAATTATCTTTTTTTCTTCTTCAAATTTTCGATTTTCAATTTTTCGTTTTAGTTTTTATTATCCTTATAATTTCTTTGTTCCAGATCCGACTTTCTGAAAGTTCGTGGCTTCGACGAGGACATAGTAGGCTGGGGCGGCGAAGACGTCATGCTGTATCGAAAGTACGTCCGAAGCAGTATGAAGGTGATCAGAGCCACGGACCCCGGGATTTTCCACATCTGGCACCCCAAGGTGACTGAGCTCGCGGGTTGATTTAGACGTTACAACGACTCATTTCAGGTGTGTTCGGGCGGGCCGGGTAGCCAGAAGCTGTCCGCCGACCAGTACCGGGCTTGCATTAGATCGCGAGCCCTCAACGAAGCCTCCCATGCCCAGCTGGGCTTCCTGGCGTTCCGGGACGACATCGCTGCCAATAGTAGTCCGGCGAAGTACCCGCCGCACCCCCCAAAACCCATTAAGCCGCAGCAACTCAAGAAGAAACCCACCACCTGAGTGACATCCACCGAATTTTAACCCATCGAGTGACAAAAGTGAGATAAAGACAATCCTAACCTAACTTTTGCTTAACCCCTATAGCGGAAGGTGGCTTGCACGCACACAGTGTACTGAAGATGAGTCAGTGTCGAAACACGTTGTTAGTTGTTTTAGTTCGGGGGGAGGTGCACTGTGTGCGCCATGTTAGGGTAGATTAGCCCGTCTGGATGATCCAGGTGTGGTCCAGACGAGCTGAAGCCGAATCCGCGCCGCGCGATTGGAGCCGAAATTCCATATTTTGTTACCGTTGCGTTCTTTAAATGTTAGAATGTTGTAAGACTGTTGCTACATCGAATAGGTTTCCGTAGAACCAACTAGCTCTAGTCTAGCGCATGTTACTTTGTATACCTGCATACAATTGGACACTGGAGCGACCTTTTGTATTTGATTGAAACGTCCTGACAGATGATATCACTAGATATATACTATGTTTTCCAATTATGATGTGAGCGATTTTAAGAATAAATTTTGTTGTAATGTTGGAGTTTCATTCCCGAACAAGTTGCGAATTCGCCGGCTTGCTCTGTCATAACGTCTCCCTGTGGTGGCTTTCCAATATGTACGGATCCCGAGGGATAATGGACGCAAAAACAGTTTGCATAGCAGTTGTTGGTAGATAGTTTGCAAACACTAGTTCGTATCCGCAAGTTGGTAAGTGTGTTCTTGTCGGCTTGTTTGCCGCCGAATCGATTCGGTACGGCCGGGATTCGCATCGGAAACAAAGGCGGCGCGGATCGCCAACCTGGTGGCAACCGCCGAAACCCGACCTTACGGTAAGCATGAATAAATTAACGCGTTTTTTGCTTTAATTTTATATAATAAGAGACTCCTGCAATTGTGGTGTATGAACCCGTGCTGAGTTCTCACTCTAGAGATACAAACTTTTGGAAAAAAAAATCAAAATTATATAGCATTTTGCAATTTAAAATTGAAATCTTGCAAAGTTTGAAGGTTATCGTAATTGATGACGCCATCTCAAAATGTTGCCTAATATATATATATATATATATATATATGTTACGGTTAAAGTGAATACTCGGCTAGTTTCCAAACTATCTGGTTGTTATGCAAACTAACCAAGTCGCTAGTTATTATAGACGAAAAACTATTTTCTCTTACATTAGCAGGGTTTCTTGGTTAATTTGTAAACTGCCCAGCTAGTTTATAAACTACCGTACAAGTTTGGATAATTTACATACTTTTTTTAAAGTACATAAATTAACCGAAATAATTGGTTAGTTTACAAACCAGCCACTTTGTTCTGGTTAAAATAAGAACTTTTTCTCTAGTACGATAAAATAACTAACGAATTGTATCATATTTTAGGCAGTTAGTATGCAAACAGACAGTTGTTTTAGTGTTCAATGCAGGCAATGATACAATTCATTGGTTATTTTATCGTACTAGAGAAAAAGTTCTTATTTTAACCAGAACAAAGTGGCTGGTTTGTAAACTAACCAATTATTTCGGTTAATTTATGTACTTTAAAAAAAGTATTTAAATTATCCAAACTTGTACGGTAGTTTATAAACTAGCTGGGCAGTTTAAAAATTAACCAAGAAACCCTGCTAATGTAAGAGAAAATAGTTTTTCGTCTATAATAACTAGCGACTTGGTTCGTTTGCATAACAACCAGTTAGTTTGGAAACTAGCCGAGTATTCACTTTAACCGTAACATATATAAACGACAACAAGTTGGCTTTGGAAATGTGAACGTAGGGCGTAGTTTGATTACATTAATTGTTGATTACCTGAACGTGCTCGCTGTGCTCGCATCCTAGGTGTTATTTTTTTTAAACTTAAGTCTCAGAATTATTCAAGAAAAACTCTTAGCGAAGTTATTGTTTGGGTTAAATTGTATCTAATAATAAATCTCTTGATTTTAAAAACACATCCCTATACAATAAATAGAAAGTAGAAAAGACGAAGTAAAGTAAACTGTGATACTGAAAAATCGAATAAATGAAATACTATTAGTTTTAAAATCCACTAATAAATGGAAATCGTAAAATTGAAAAAGTAAAAGATTTAAATTTATAATGATTAGGTGTTACAAATTTAAAATGAAAATTAGAAAAATTGCAAATCAAAAACTGAAGAATCAAAAAATTGGAAAATCGAGAAATTGCAAAACCTAAAATTGAAGAAACGAAAAATTAAAAAATCTAAAAGATGAAAAATCAAAAAATTGAAAAATAAAGAAAATAAAAAACCGAAACGAAAACTGCAAATCGAAAAATTGGAGACATGAAAAATTAAGTGAAAAATCGAAAAATTGAAAAATAAAACACTGAAAACTCGCGAAATTGCAAATCGAAAAATTGGAAAATCTAAAAATCGAAGCATGCAGAAGTGGGAAAATCGAAAAACTGAAAAATTTAAAAATGAAAACTCCAAGAGTTGCACATCGTAAAATTGAAGAAACAAAAAAAATAAAAATTGGAAAATTGCATATCGATAAATTGAAAAAATTGAGGTCGAGGAAACAAAACGTTCCGATTTTATAGGAACATTGAAAAATCGAAAATCCAAGGAAACGAAAAATTGAAAAATTAAAAATTGAAAACGCGAGAAATTTTAAATCGAAAATTTGCAAAATCTAAAAATTGAAGAAAAAAAATAAAAATTATAAAAAGAATTATAAAATCGAAAAATCGATTATTTGAAAAAATTACAAATTATAAATTCGAGAAATTCAGATCGAATAATTATTGCAAAATCTAAAAATTGAAAAATTCAAAAGTTGGAAAATTGAAAAACTAAAGAAACAAAAAGAAAAATTGAAAAAAGCTGTTAGAGTGTTATTTATCGAATTATCGAAAATTTGAGCAATTGAAAAATTTGAAAATCCAAATGTCGAAAAATTGAGAAATTGTGAGATCAAAATATCAAAAATTGAAAAACCGGAAAATCGAAAAACTGAAAAATGAAAAAATTAAACCGCTGAGAACTAAAAATAAAAAAATTAAGAACTAGAATTACAAATCTAGTAAAAGAAAAAAACGAAAACTAGAGAAATCGGGAAAACAAAACACTGAAAAACCTAAAAACCGAAAAATCGAAAAATGGGGAGTAAAAATCAAGAAATCGAATCATCAAAAAATTGAGAAATTGAAAAATTTGAAAATCCATATGTCGGAAAGTTGAAAAATTGTGTGATTAAACTATCGGCGGAAACAAAAAGTTTCGATTTTATAGGAACATTGAAAAATCGAAAATCCAAAGAAACGAAAAATTGAAAAATTAAAAATTGAAAACTCGAGAAATTTTAAATCGAAAATTTGCAAAATCTAAAAATTGAAGAAAAAAAATTGAAATATTGCAAATCGAATAAATGAACAAACGAAAATTGAAAAAAATTAAAAATTAAAAACCAAAGAATTATAAAATCGAAACAATGAAAAATCGATTATTTGAAAAAATTACAAATTATAAATTCGAGAAATTCAGATCGAATAATTATTGCAAAATCTAAAAATTGAAAAATTCAAAAGTTGGAAAATTGAATAACTAAAGAAACAAAAAGAAAAATTGAAAAAAGCTTTTAGAGTGTTATTTATCGAATTATCGAAAATTTGAGCAATTGAAAAATTTGAAAATACAAATGTCGAAAAATTGAAAAATTATGAGATCAAAACATCAAAAATTGAAAAACCGGAAAGTCGAAAAACTGAAAAATGGAAAAATTAAGCCGCTGAAAACTAAAAATAAAAAAAAAATCGAAAAATTGACGATGTAAAAGTCTAAAAATAAAAAAATTAAAAACTAGAATCACAAATCTAGTAAAAGAAAAAAACGAAAAATAGAGAAATCGAGAAAACAAAACACTGAAAAGCCTAAAAACCGAAAAATCGAAAAATGGGGAGTAAAAATCAAGAAATCGAATTATCGAAAAATTGAGAAATTGAAAAATTTGAAAATCCATATGTCGAAAAGTTGAAAAATTGTGTGATCAAAATATCGGGGGTAACAAAAGGTTTCGATTTTATAGGAACATTGAAAAATGGAAAATCCAAAGAAATGAAAATTTGAAAAATTAATAATTGAAAACTCGAGAAATTTTAAATCGAAAAATTGCAAATCGAAAAATTGAACAAACGAAAATTGAAAAAAATTAAAAATTAAAAACCAAAGAATTATAAAATCGAAACATTGAAAAATCGATTAATTGAAAAAATTACAGATTGTAAATTCGAGAAATTCAGATCGAATAATTATTGCAAAATCTAGAAATTGAAAAATTCAAAAGTTGGAAAATTGAAAAACTAAAGAAACAAAAAGAAAAATTGAAAAAAGCTGTTAGAGTGTTATTTAATAATAAATAATAAAAAATAAATAATAATAAAATAAATAAATAAATAAAATATTTATCGATTCATCGAAAATTTGACCAATTGAAAAACTTGAAAATCCAAATGTCGAAAAACTGAAAAATGAAAAAATTAAACCGCTGAGAACTAAAAATAAAAAAAAATTGAAAAATTGACGATCTAAAAGTCTAAAAATAAAAAAATTAAAAACTAGAATTACAAATCTAGTAAAAGAAAAAAACGAAAAATAGAGAAATCGAGAAAACAAAACACTGTAAAGCCTAAAAACCGAAAAATCGAAAAATGGGGAGTAAAAATCAAGAAATCGAATTATCGAAAAATTGAGAAATTGAAAAATTTAAAAATCCATATGTCGAAAAGTTGAAAAATTGTGTGATCAAAATATCGGGGGAAACAAAAAGTTTCGATTTTATAGGAACATTGAAAAATCGAAAATCCAAAGAAACGAAAATTTGAAAAATTAAAAATTGAAAACTCGAGAAATTTTAAATCGAAAAATAGCAAATCGAAAAATTGAACAAACGAAAATTGAAAAAAAATTAAAATTTAAAAACCAAAAAATTATAAAATCGAAACATTGAAAAATCGATTAATTGAAAAAAATACAAATTATAAATTCGAGAAATTCAGATTGAATAAATATTGCAAAAATCAAAAAATTGAAAAATTCAAAAGTTGGAAAATTGAAAAACTAAAGAAACAAAAAGAAAAATTGAAAAAAGCTGTTAGAGTGTTATTTATAGAATTATCGAAAATTTCAGCAATTGAAAAATTTGAAAATCCAAATGTTGAAAAATTGAAAAATTGTGTTGGAACGTTTGAAGGGATGAGTAATAGGCTTGTTGTCCCTTCGATGGTTTATTACGTTCTATCTTAAAATTACAAGTGAGACCTGAGCAGGGTGGGGGTGACAAACCCACCACTGGTCTATCGAATGAACATACCGCCCCCCTTGAAGGATAGGCTTCAAAATTTGAGACATAAATAAATAAAAATTACAAATATCAGAAATGTTAAAGGTCCTTCACTTATTAGTCTGCTTCTGCTGGAAGTAAGCACACCTTTTTTATGGTTCGTTTGTAAACCCCAGTCGATGTTTTCACTGTAACCACCCTCACTACACCATCTAGCCCCGGATGAAGTTGGAGCACTCGTCCCAGTTTCCATTTCAATGGTGGCAAATTGTCCTCGATGATTACCACCAAGGAACCGACAGCGACTTGGGATGTGGAGGATTGTTGACCTTTAGGGCGCCTTTGTAGTTCGGACAGATACTCCTGGGTCCACCTCTTCCAAAACTGTTGGTGGAGCTGCTGCACCCGCTGCCATCGTGAGAGACGATTGATGGGTAGTGGTGTAACGTCTTCTTCTGCGGTGTTCGTCAACGGAGCCCCTATAAGCAAGTGTCCTGGTGTAAGAGCGTTCAGGTCATTAGGGTCAGGAGATAGAGGGGTGAGGGGTCGTGAATTTAAACAGGCCTCAATGCAAACTAAAAAGGTATAAAATTCTTCGTAGGTTAGTGAGGCATCCCCTACTACTCGAAACAAATGATGTTTTACACTACGCACGGCTCTCTCCCAGAGGCCCCCAAAATGTGGTGATCTGGCTGGTATAAAGTGAAAACTTGTTCCTTTTTCGGAAAAATGGTTCGCTAATTTGTTCTCAAACTGTCTGGAGTTAAACAAGGCTCGTTCGGCTCCGACAAAATTTGTGCCATTATCACAAAATAACTCTCGCACATTTCCCCTACGCGATGTGAATCGCTTCATCGCCGCTAAAAAACTATCGGTAGTCAGATCACCTACTAACTCCAGGTGGACAGCCTTAGTCGCAAAACAAACAAATAGCGCAATGTACGCCTTCACACGTCTTTGTGTTCTGGTACGCCCATCCTTTATTAAAAATGGGCCTGCATAATCGACCCCTGATACGTAAAAGGGCCGTGACGGCTCGACTCTTTGTTTTGGTAAATCCCCCATTTTGTAAAAATAATAAATACAAAAAATATAAACCTAGTATGCAACAAAATCGAATATTTAACAAAAATTGAGGCTTGCTTAAACTGCGCTTTAAGGTAATTAAAAAAAGGAAGGATCTGACCTGAACGTCTCGGACACGATGTGGACGCTGAGATGGCTCGGGGCTCGGGATCGGCAGCTGCTTTTCTTCCCGACGAACTCCGGACGTGGAAATCGGATGGATTCTTTTTGCGTCACCGTTGCGTGGATTTCTTCCTGACGAATTCCGGGAGTGAGAGTCGATTGGATTTCTTCTTGGGAAATTCCGGGAGTGAGAGTCGACTGGATTTCTTCTTGGCTCGCCTGGTTTTCTTCCCGACGCACTCCGTACACGTGAATCGGGTGGATGTTTTCTTGGATCGTCTGGATCGCTTACACCTTCACTTTTACACACACACTACGAATGTGTCGACGCCGTGAAGATGTGATTTGAATAAAAACGCCTGGATCATTTGATCGGGTCTTATAAGAACGCCTGGATCATTTGATCGGGTTTTATTTGTTTTTGCTGATTCAGATGGATGGTTCCATCAGGCTCGATTGGACCAAAAATGTTGGAACGTTTGAAGGGATGAGTAATAGGCTTGTTGTCCCTTCGATGGTTTATTACGTTCTATCTTAAAATTACAAGTGAGACCTGAGCAGGGTGGGGGTGACAAACCCACCACTGGTCTATCGAATGAACAAATTGTGAGATCAAAATACCAAAAATTGAAAAACCGGAATGTCGAAAAACTGAAAAATGGAAAAATTAAGCCGCTGAAAACTAAAAGTAAAAAAAAATCGAAAAATTGACGATGTAAAAGTCTAAAAATAAAAAAATTGAAAACTAGAATTACAAATCTAGTAAAAGAAAAAACGAAAATAGAGAAATCGAGAAAACAAAACACTGAAAAGCCTAAAAACCGAAAAATCGAAAAATGGGGAGTAAAAATCAAGAAATCGAATAATCGAAAAATTGAGAAATTGAAAAATTTGAAAATCCATATGTCGAAAAGTTGAAAAATTGTGTGATCAAAATATCGGAGGAAACAAAAAGTTTCGATTTTATAGGAACATTGAAAAATCGAAAATCCAGAGAAACGAAAAATTGAAATATTAAAAATTGAAAACTCGAGAAATTTTAAATCGAAAAATTGCAAATCGAAAAATTGAACAAACGAAAATTGAAAAAAATAAAAAATTAAAAACCAAAGAATTATAAAATCGAAACATTGAAAAATTGATTAATTGAAAAAAATACAAATTATAAATTCGAGAAATTCAGATTGAATAATTATTGCAAAATCTAAAAATTGAAAAATTCAAAAGTTGGAAAATTGAAAAACTAAAGAAACAAAATGAAAAATTGAAAAAAGTTGTTAGAGTGTTATTTATCGAATTATCGAAAATTTGAGCAATTGAAAAATTTGAAAATCCAAATGTCGAAAAATTGAAAAATTGTGAGATCAAAATATCAAAAATTGAAAAACCGGAAAGTCGAAAAACTGAAAAATGGAAAAATTAAGCCGCTGAAAACTAAAAATAAAAAAAAATCGAAAAATTGACGATGTGAAAGTCTAAAAATAAAAAAATTAAGAACTAGAATTACAAATCTAGTAAAAGAAAAAAACGAAAAATAGAGAAATCGAGAAAACAAAACACTGAAAAGCCTAAAAACCGAAAAATCGAAAAATGGGGAGTAAAAATCAAGAAATCGAATTATCGAAAAATTGAGAAATTGAAAAATTTGAAAATCCAAATGTCGAATAGTTGAAAAATTGTGTGATCAAAATATCGGAGGAAACAAAAAGTTTCGATTTTATAGGAACATTGAAAAATCGAAAATCCAAAGAAACGAAAAATTGAAAATTAAAAATTGAAAACTCGAGAAATTTTAAATCGAAAATTTGCAAAATCTAAAAATTGAAGAAAAAAAATAAAAACTGCAAAATTGCAAATCGAAAAATTGAACAAACGAAAATTGAAAAAAATTAAAAATTAAAAACCAAAGAATTATAAAATCGAAACATTGAAAAATCGATTATTTGAAAAAATTACAAATTATAAATTCGAGAAATTCAGATCGAATAATTATTGCAAAATCTAAAAATTGAAAAATTCAAAAGTTGGAAAATTGAAAAACTAAAGAAACAAAAAGAAAAATTGAAAAAAGCTGTTAGTGTTATTTATCGAATTATCGAAAATTTGAGCAGTTGAAAAATTTGAAAATCCAAATGTCGAAAAATTGAAAAATTGTGTGATCAAAATATCGGAGGAAACAAAATGTTTCGTCTTTATAGGAACATTGAAAAATCGAAAATCCAAAGAAACGAAAAATTGAAAAATTAAAAATTTAAAACTCGAGAAGTTTTAAATCGAAAATTTGCAAAATCTAAAAATTGAAGAAAAAAAATAAAAATTGAAAAATTGCAAATCGAAAAATTGAACAAACGAAAATTGAAAAATATTAAAAATTAAAAACCATAGAATTATAAAATCGAAACATTGAAAAATCGATTGTTTGAAAAAATTATAAATTATAAATTCGAGAAATTCAGATCGAATAATTATTGCAAAATCTAAAAATTGAAAAATTCAAAAGTTGGAAAATTGAAAAACTAAAGAAACAAAATGAAAAATTGAAAAAAGTTGTTAGAGTGTTATTTATCGAATTATCGAAAATTTGAGCAATTGAAAAATTTGAAAATCCAAATGTCGAAAAATTGAAAAATTGTGAGATCAAAATATCAAAAATTGAAAAACCGGAAAGTCGAAAAACTGAAAAATGGAAAAATTAAACCGCTGAGAACTAAAAATAAAAAAATTAAGAACCAGAATTAGAAATCTAGTAAAAGAAAAGAACGAAAACTAGAGAAATCGGGAAAACAAAACACTGAAAAGCCTAAAAACCGAAAAATCGAAAAATGGGGAGTAAAAATCAAGAAATCGAATTATCGAAAAATTGAGAAATTGAAAAATTTGAAAATCTATATGTCGAAAAGTTGAAAAATTGTGTGATCAAAATATCGAAGGAAACAAAAAGTTTCGATTTTATAGGAACATTGAAAAATCGAAAATCCAAAGAAACGAAAAATTGAAAAATTAAAAATTGAAAACTCGAGAAATTTTAAATCGAAAAATTGCAAATCGAAAAATTGAACAAATGAAAATTGAAAAAATTAAAATTTAAAAACCAAAGAATCGATTGAAAAATCGATTATTTGAAAAAATTACAAATTATAAATTCGAGAAATTCAGATCGAATAATTATTGCAAAATCTAAAAATTGAAAAGTTCAAACGTTGGAAAATTGAAAAACTAAAGAAACAAAAAGAAAAATTGAAAAACGCTGTTAGAGTGTTTTAACGCCACTGGTTTTTACTTTATAGAGATTATCAGAATAAAAAAAATCTTTTGTTTTTATTACACTGTGAGTAGTACCTTCAATATTGTTTTTACTCCATGGAGGTTATCACGAAAAAGTAAAATTCCACAAAATCAGATTTTAAAATTTTTCAGCTAAGCAGTATTTGTTGGACTGTCTTTCAGAAGCGAGGAAAATTCTGTCGAAATAACCTCCGCCCAATTTTCAACCCAGAAATGCGACGATGTATGCGACGTTGCGGCATTATTGCCCCCATAATTCTGTCGGGGTCGCTGCTCTGCGCGTCATAAAAGGGCAAAAACTAAAATTAAATCCACCCCTTTGATTTGTAGGGGAAAGTCTTGCATAAATTATCATGTTCTCTTTCATCGGGTCATTTAGGACGGGCCATCAATTTAAATGAATGGTCGCACGTAAGCTCTTAGGCCGCAGGTAAGTACCTTTCAATGCCTGCGTAGCGCGAACATCTCCGCCCGAGTCTCATCGGAGCGTTCGCCCAGCCGGCGTGTAATTCCGCCTCTGGTATCATTTTCCGACCGAACACTTCTATTACGCTAATGAAATAATTAGCAAATTGTAGTCGGGGAAGTTGGATCCGTACTCCGGCTCGGCTGATGTAAATTTGATATTTACATACGGCCGCTCTCAAAAATTAAATTGTTGTTAACGCGGGGAGGATTTTTCATTAGCGCGGAGGGCGGATTTATGGCGCACCTGCCGGCCGGCGCAGGTTTTAATGGGATTTTTCTGGGCTGCCGCGCTGGGAAGAGATAAGATTGCGGCGTGATTTCCGTTCGTTTTGGTGGACGCGGTTTGGAGTTGAATAAGCGTTAAAGCGAGCAAATTGGAAAACTTGGGGTTTTGGTAGGTACAATGGCAGACGAAAGTTAGGGACTCTTTTTCATTCATTTGTAACGTTAACTTCTTCTATCTTAATTACACTGAATGAAAAAAAAATCCGAAACCAAAAAATATAAATTTTGGAACCAAATCTCGAGGCTGCGAAATACAAAAATCAAAAAAATCGGGGAAAAACTGAGAAACCAAAAATTGAAAATCTAAAAATTTAAAACTAGACATCGAGATCGGGAAATACAAAAATCACAAATTGAGAAACTGAAAAATTGAAGACTAGAAAGATTGAGAAATCAAGTCACGCAATTGAGAAATCGTAAAGTCGAAAATTAAAAAAATTGGAAAATCGAAAAGGTGAAAAATTAAAAAAATCAAAAATGAGAAATTCAAATTTCGAATAACTGAAAATGAGAGAAATTGGGAGATCTAAAAATTGAAAAATGTAAGATTTGAATAACTAAGAAAGCAAAAAATCGAGAGATTAAAAGTCGAAAAATTGAAAAATCGAGAAATCGAAAAATCATAATGTCGAAAAATCGAGAAATCGAAAAACTATAAACCGAGAAATTGAAATTTTGTAAAACTGAAAACTCTAAAATTTGAATAATCGAAAAATTGAAGAATCGGAAAATTAAAATATATATGTATTTCCAACTGAAAACCTGAAAACTGAAAAAATCGTCAGTTCGTAAAGTCGAAAAATGTAGAAATCGAAAAATCAAAAAATCAAGTAATTGAA